TAGATTCTCTAGAAGCTTGCTGAAGACTCTGTTGGATTGCTTCAGAGAAGAATTTCAAAAAAGCAAAATAAATTAATTGAATCAGCATTTACTTCAAAAGGAGTACATCATTCTTTATAAGGATGACTGAGAAGTGCTCACAGAAGAGGTTTTAGGATAAAAAAGGGTAATGTACACAGCAATAAGCCTCCATAAACAGGTACCAGAGCTGGGAACGCCCCTTTAAAGTTGATGTGCTATTGCTAATCATGGTGTGTAATCTGTTGCTTCATTTAACTTTGCTCTCAGGAGAAGAGGTGATGATCTGCAATACGCTGTAATGCATGCTCTTAAAAAGATTACTGCTGATTAGTAGGTCCAGCAAAGGGGTAGCAATCAGAGAAGTAACTGGGTTGTTAAGAGTGTAACCATTATACATTGTAGAAGAATTGACTTGGCTTTTAAAGAGGGAAGTCAGGCCTCAGGTTAGAGGTATTTGAAGGTGTTACAGAGGGTTCTTGAGCTTGGAAGGATGATGGGAGAAAGTACACACAGCTCTGTGGATTTCTGTTGTGTCACAGCACAACTACTACAATGTAGCAACTGTAGAGCAAGTGAAAAGAATTTTCTTTGTGCTGTGCATAAATAAGCATCTTAGTTATTACCACAGGATATGGTGGTAACAAACGGTTAGTGAAATTCAAGTGTCATAGCTTCACTGAGCACAGCACACTGTGCCTGAAATTTTTATTGATAACTTTTGGAGCCAGAAAGGTTGTGGAAGAAGAACTGATAAAGGCGTTTTCTAAATGTCCACTGTTACCAAATGCTGGAAGCAGTATTGTGGGCAAGGTAGACTTCAGGTCTGATTAAAAAAGGAGTTACTTTTAAAGTCCTCCCTTATATTCCACAGGAAGATTGGTTAGCTGATGACAGCAACCCTTTCTGGCCTTAAAATTAGTTACAAGACCACTGTATTACGTGCTTTGCTGCCTGTAATAATAAATTAACAACTGTGCGCCTGTTGGTTTTCTTTTTGTAATATCTGTTGTTACTGGTTGAAAAGGGGATTGACAAGTAGAAATATGGAAGTCAAAAAGAAATATTAGCATTTTTCAGGTTGGAAAGTGCTCAGGTTGTTAGGATTGTCCATTAAAGCAGCAGAACATAGCTGTGGTGGGTTGCTATGTTCTGTATGTATGTAGAATCAGTATAGCATGTAAAGTGTTTTTTCAAGAACTTCACTTCTAGTCATAAAAATGCTTTTTAAACTAACAGCTTTCTTCTGCTCAGTAGGATGTGATTTGTTGGAAGTGTATATTGACCTGGAACCAACAAGGAGATGACTAAGTAGAAGGAAAATGGTTTTAACATGCCTCTGCTTTGCCAAGGAATATGGAAACAATAACAGATTTGTCAAGTCTGTGGGTCAGCTAGCCTTGTAGTTGATATATGATGTTTCTCTATGTACAACATACTTGGTGTATGGGGTTGGGTTTTTTTCTAAAGCACCATTTAGGAGCTGAAATGTAAGTCTTTGTCCCAGTTGCTGTGTATCACCTTCATGTGCATGCTGTTTACTGCCCAGATGTATCCACAGGAGGTGAGAGATGTCTTCTCTTCATTGTGGCTGGCACATAATTGGGTCTGTCGTCTTACTTGTTTTATGGTCTAATTTGTTAGCCAAGACTGTGCATGCTTGGCAGTTGCCAAAGTGTGTTTGGTCTATGCACTAAAGCTCTGCAGTAGTACTTCTCTCTTTTCCCTGTTGTTTCCTCCCCTCCCCAAGCAATGACATCCTCCATGCTGCCTTTCCTTACCACACTGGTGTACGTTGCATGGCTCATGTGCCAATCAGTCTCTTCTTGAGATTTCAGACAGTGCAGAGATGATTCCTGGTGTGCTTCCATCTTCAGAAGAGAACCAACAGCTTGAAAAATGAGTATTCAGTTTACTAAATTAAAACTTTAGATGCTGTTTTCTTCCTGTTTAAGAGCAGAACCGTGCTCTTGGGGTGCAGGGAATAATAATCACACAGATGAAATCGCAGGTGTACTGTTTCCTCAGTGAAGAAGAGGTAGTATAGTAGCTCAGCACTTGGTTGCTCTGATGTGTACTGGTTACCAGGTCCAAGTTCTGGATGTGCCTGAACCACTCAGTGACCTATGTCTCTCCCCCTTTTGGCACTTGTAAGAGTGATCTAATAAATATTTTGTTGCAACAGATATGATCTCATATCCTCTTACAAATCCATGTAAAACAGTCACTGAGAAACAGCCCTGTTCAGTGGAGAGTTCAAAGTGTGGGACAAGGCTTTAAGAAGGAAGCAATCATTTTAAAGAGAGTAGTTGTTTAGTAATACCTGGCAGTTCCCACTGCTGGCTGTCTCTCTTAGAGTGAGCAAAAATGGTGGGTCAGCTTTTTGGCAATGGGAATTTCTGCCAGGTGGAAGGCTGGATGGCCTTTTTCATGCTGTTTACTCTGCTTTTTCGTTTCTTAAAGCTGAAACTCTTAAGCTGAGTTTTTTCTCTGGCATTGTCAGCATAAGCCCAGAGGTCTTTGGAGAAGCTAATTCCTTTGGCTTCTTCCTACTGCATCACCCAAAATAATATCATGGTCTGTCTTTAAGCAGCATATGCTGTTTGTTTTTTATCGCTACTCCAAACGTTTGTACTGGATTGTATTTCTACCTCTGCTGCCTTACGAAGGAATTCCAGCTGAATAGTTAATGTCTCCCTTCACTTAAGTTCATGTTTTTCTGGACAGTGAATTAGAGGCTCCTTACAGTTTATTAATTTTGCTTTTAGCATTATGTAAGCTGTCCAAGGTTGTAAGTACATAATATAAATTTGATTAGTGTCTTCCTTTATAGCTTATTTTACAGTCCTTGGCCTATTCCACTTCAAAATTCTTATAAGCAGCGTAAAGCTGGCCAAAATACACACTTCATGTTAATTAAGTCTTTTAAATAGAGTCTAATTTTCTTCCTACTCTTGAAGTTGGTGAGAGATTAGTAATAAAAGGAAATTAGTTGGTTGATAGCATCATGTATTTGATCAGTGCAGAAAGAGGATAACCGCCTCAGGTGTATGGTGAACTCTTCATTCCTATGTGAACATTCAACATGTTAAAAGTTGACAACATTATTTGAACTTTTATCCTGACAAGATAATTTCAGAACTAACAAGCAGAGGAAACACTAGAGCGTGGAACAAACACATTTTTAAAAAGTCTAATTTCCTGCAGAGGGTTTGCTCCCATCGAAGTTTTGTACTTCAGCTGAAAGTAGGCTAGAAAGGCTTGCAATTGAAATTGCTGGACCTAAGATTTTTGTTTGAGATTATTCTTTCTAAAACATAAAAACCAATTCACTAATATATAGGGGTTTGAGACTAAATAGCGAAGTGTCTTGTTTCCTCTCCTGACCTCTTGACTCAGGCAGTGCTGTCGTAGTGGGCAACAAGTCACTAAAACAAAATTATCTTTTTTTTCCTAAGATCAGGAAAGAAAAAGTTTTGTGCAAAGTGTAATTGAGAGCATCCTGAAAGAATAAAATGTTGAGTGTTGATGAAAATAAACCTACTTCATTGTGTCTGATAAAGTTGCTGCATCCTAGTTTTGTTTTTATGTCTATCAGAAAATGTTTTCGAAGAAGTTTAACTTTCTCAAATTCATAAAATGCATCTGACTTACATCTTGGTTTCTGTCATGTTCTTGCGTTTTGGCAAGAACTCTGTCACCAGTTGTAGCTTCCAATAGGCATGGGGGCCATCCAAAATAGTTTCCATTTCCTACTGAGGTACGTTCTTAGAACAACTTTTCCAATCCAAATAACTGGCATTTATTACTTTTTAATTGCTTAGTGTGATATTTGCTTACATTTGCTGTTTTAATGTCTTTTCCTGTCTGTAAACTGAGAGTCCCAAAGGGCACATGCGTGCAGTTACTGAATTCAGTTTACATAGCTTGACGGATGTTTTGGGAAAAGCAGATTGTGTGTATGTGCTGTTTGTCACAGATGGTGTCCCAGCAAGAAAAAAGTTGTGCTAATGCTGAAGGAAAATGAAAAGAAAGTAAGTAAACGAAATAGCAAAAAACCCAGGATGGCCTTAAGAGTTTAGCCTATTTTTTTCCAGCAGCCGTGGGCAATGTGGTCAGTATGGCACACATATGCTTGAGCTCAGCAAAGGTTCTCAAGTCGCTCTATGAAAGCAACAAACAATGGGCAGGAGAAATTTCTCTGGACAGTTCTGCTGCTCTGGATAGTACCTATGTCTCAAGTCTAATGCCTTTTAATTTTTTGATGAGCTTTTTGTGAAACCTGGTCATGCAAGTAGGTAAAGTACCTTTATTCTGAAAAAAAGTATAAAAAAGTGTATTGCTAGTCTTTGAGATAGTAAAGAAAAATCTTTGCAGATGAAAGTGTTCCAAGTTTTTAAAAAAGGCAATGTAGGCAGAACACGGCCATTTCACCTCTACTAATTTAACTTAGGTGGGTTATTTTTTCATTCAGGTTTGGTTTGGGGATCAGTGAATTTTTAGGGCTTTGGTTTTGACCGCATGATTCTAGTGAAAATAGTTTGAGTTCCATGCCCATACTGGAATGCAGATCTCAACTCCTTCCCCTTCTGGCATACATAAATGAGCAGGTTCATTTTTCACAGGTTAGGATTGTTTGTGAAGGAAAAGAAACAGGACTTGCTGAAGACCAAGTGTCATGGACCTGCATTTAGATTCTGTGTTTAAGTTCTGTCAAGGAGGGCTAAGCTGTATGGCAAACGGGTGTTTGCACTGCTGTAAATCCTAAACATCCATAGATCTTCAATCCGTGCCCTTCCCACTTTAAGCCTTCACTGGACTGTTACATTCCTAAAGTCCATTCAGCAGCCTAAGACCCTGAATTAACTTCATAAGGGGTAATGAAAAACTATCTTCTGGGTTTGTTCTTATGCCTCCTGGCTTGCAGCTGAACTGGTTACATGAAGTGTCAGATTAACTCTGGTCCTTCCCTTGCCTTGTAGGACTCCTCAGTGGGCAGACCTCTCCGACCAACACCAAACTGGAAAAGCTGGACCCCCAGCAGGTGCTGCAGCTGTGTCTCCGGTACCAGGATCATCTTCACCAGTGTGCAGAAGCGGTTGCCTTTGATCAGAATGCGCTTGTGAAGCGGATCAAGGAGGTACTGCCTGCAGCATGCCTGCCTCTGGTGGGGAAGGGCTTGGGGCATCAGCTTGTCCATCTTGTGCTATGCATGCAGGTGCTTGCTGTAGATGTCTGTGGGTCACTTGCAGTACATCAGAGTACACCCTTTAGAGAAACTGTAGGTGTGCACTTCAAGCAAAGTTTTCTGGCTTTCATTGTGGTTACTGTTAGCTGGTGTGTTTATTGGTTATGGCCCCATGATTCCTGGCCATAAACAGGAGCAGTTCCTCTGGTATGCCTAGTACTTCAAGCAATTGTTGAAGAAGTAAAAGATTATTGGAACTTTAAAAGGTAGCATTCCTTATTTAGGTCTGTATAGCATACATCTTATTATGCCTCATGGTTAGGCTTTAATTTAAGGAAAGAAATGGTTATCTTAACATCTTCCATGACTCTTGAATGTATTTGTAAAGCTAGACTTGTTTTAAAAGCCCGTAACGTGGTGTCTCTTCTCTGAGACTGTGTAGTCCAATTCTGCTGTTCAAAGCAGAGTCAGCAAGAGTGGGTTGCCCAGGAGCCTGTCTGGTTGTGCTTTGAGTATCTCCAGGGATGGAGACTTTGCAGCCTCTCTGGGTAACCTTTACTGCCTCCCATCAGATCAGATTCCTCACTGAGCCTTCTCTTTTCAAAGCTGAACAGAGTCAGCTCTCTCAGCCTTTCCCTTTGTGACAGATCTCTAGTGCCTTAATCATCTCCGTGGCCCTTGACTGGACTTGTGCCAGGGCTGGAGCACCTCCCATATGAAGACAGGCTGAGGAAGTTGCGGCTTTTCAGCCTGGAGAAGAGAAGCTGCATGGAGACCTCATAACAGCCTTCCAGTATCGGAAGGGGGCTTACAAGGATGTTGGGGAGGGACTCTTCATTAGGGACTGTAGTGGTAGGACAAGGGATAATGGCTTCAAACTTAAACAGGGGAAGTTTAGGTTAGATATAAGGAAGAAGTTCTTTACAGTGAGGGTGGTGAGGCACTGGAATAGGTTGCCCAAGGAAGTTGTGAATGCTCCAACCCTGGAGGTGTTCAAGGCCAGGTTGGACAGAACCTTGGGCAACATGGTTTAGTGCGAGGTGTCCCTGCCTGTGGCAGGGGGGTTGGAACTAGAAGATCTTAAGGTCCTTTTGAACCCTAACTATTCTATGATCTGTATGGCAAAAAGATCTTCCTGTGCTGCTGTTTTTACCACTAAACCATCCTCTGAAAAATCACTCATCTGCTTAAATATTCAATAAAACTGCTGGGGAGGAAATTAATTCCTGGAGTGAGCATCCTGCAATTGGATTGTCTTTCTCATGTGTAACTACTGATGTTGGAAGCAGTAAGATGGCTGACAGCTTTGTGGGGTTTTTGTGTTTCTTGGTGGTTTTTAGTTGTGTTTGGTGGTGGTGGTGGTTTTGTTTTTTTTAAAAGTCAGAACAGACTAGTTGAAGAGGAGATGCCATTCAAGAGGTTTTTTTCACATACTCCCAGTTGTATGAAAGAACTGGTAAATGTTGCATGTATCAAAAGTCCAGACCAAATACCTTTCAATGTCAGAAGAAAATTTTTTGAACAGGTGGTTAATTTTTATTCATGCAGTATAAGCAATGACCTTGATTTGTTGTTGCACTATTGGCTTAGACTTAAGAAAATCCCACATGACAAACTGGATAATAAATTTGATTCATGGGCTGTTTTGAGAAGCTGCTGTCATCATGAAGTTTTAAGTCCAAACTAACGTGGGAGCCATTAAAAAGGCCTTTTTACTTTGGTGTATCAAGATCTGAGGCCAGCTATTACACAAGATGTGAAGATATTTGCAGATGTTGGTGACTCAGATCACACAGTCTCAGAAATGGGATTTAACTGCCAGCCTAATGACAGTGTACTGCATTAATCCAAGCAGACTGTAATTCTTTTGGGTGTTAAAGTGTGAGAAGGGATATTAACATGATTTAAAGTCACAGTAGATGCCACCAGTGCAATCGGCATTAGTGGGATTTGCCTTCTATAGGTCAAGTGTCAGAGTCCCTTTCAAATAAGCTATGGTGGTATTTTCTTCTAGTTCATAAGGCTTATTTTTTTGGGTTTCTTTTTTCTTGTAAAATAAATAAAATGGTGTACTGGTGTTGCCACTGTTGTCTTTATAACAGACTTCTTTCTGACAAAGTGAAGGAGAAATGGGCAACTCTGTAACACGGGCAACTGACAAGTCAGTTGGGACATGGGGTGTTTTTTTTTTGGTCACAACACTTAAGCAATTTCAGATGCTTCCAATCCCTCTGCCAGATCTGGTGGGTTTTTACTGTTCATTTTCCTAATAATTTTTCAGTGTTTTTCTTGCATTGGCTGTTCTGCGTGTGTGTTCTGGAGGAGCTGGGTGGGATCATTCTTTCCAAATTGGTTGGGCTCTCCTTGGTGCACTAAATTGAACTGCTGCTGACAGTTGTTGACAACAAGGGGTGCAGCTGAACTACAGCAGGGTATGTCTCTCTTTGCAAGTGTAGACGAAGGAAATCACATTTGGCTACCCCCATTTGTCAGCAATGATTTAACTTTGCCTTGTAGACAAAGTTTTGACTGTTGGTAAAGGGTAAAAATGAAAGACAAAATGAAGTGTTTTGTGAAAAGCATAATGTGTGCATGAGCTGGACAGTAAAATCTTCTGTCCTTGTTTTAGTAGTCACTATTTACCTTTTTCTTTAACACTCTAAATGTTGAAGTGTTTTTCTTTCAATAGGAGACTTATCAATTGAATTTGTTTTTAACTTTCCTACAAAACATTAGTAAGCTTTAGTTCCTGATTTCCTACCATTTGTCTGAGGTATGTTCACTTTTCAGACTGTCACCGACTGTACTCAGTGCAGTAATAGTCCTACTGTATAGTATGCTACTGTCATACTGTACAGTAGGATTTCTTTTAGTCTTTCCTTGTCTTGGGGCAAATATCTTCTGCTCATTGTGTGACCAGAGCAGAAGTTTCCTGGTTTCTGGCAAAACTCAGAAGTAGTGTTGTAAATTTACTAGTCCTCAGTAACTCATAATTAACTGTGGTGGTTTGTAAATCAGCACACAGTCTGAATTAAAATGGTTCTTAATAGGAAAGAGAATAAGCTCCTCCAGAAAACAAAAACATTGCATGACAGTAGTTACTGCAGGTCTAAGTAGACCCATCTGTGCATTCCTTTACTTTGGGGACCAAAACAGTCTAGCTTTGCTCTTCATCCTATTTCCCACTTTAGTCAGAATTTCTTTGCAGTGTGTTGGCTACACCCCTGTCTGCTCCTAAATGTAGAACCTGTGTGGCTTCCAGGTTGCTGTGACTGCTCTCTCTCGAGAAGAAATACATTTACCCAAGCTTTTCCTTGTAGGCGAAAGAATTGAAGGTGCGATTGAAGGTAGTTCACTCAACTGTCTCTCTTCAGCAGTTACAACTACTTCACAGAATCATAGGATGGGTTGGAAGGGACTGTAAAGCTCATCTAGTTCCAGCCCCCTGCTGTGGGCTGGGACACCTTCCACTAGACCAGGTTGCTTAAAGCCCCATCCAACCTGGCCTTGAACAATTCCAAGTTGAACTTGAACACTTGTACCTGAAGTGTTGGTTTTGGAATGATTTTTATGACAATAGGCTTTGTCTTCACTTCCAAAAAAAAAAAAAAAAAGGATGTGCTTGCATCTTTTAAAGGAAAAATAATCACTATGTATTAAATATTATGTTTTGTATTAAATACTATGTTTTGTATTAATTTTTGGCAGCTGACTCACCATATGTTGCAATACTGCATTAATTCGAGGACCACTGAAATATTTAGGATTCCTTTTAATTTTTTCTTCTTATCAGTTTGAAAAACAACAGAACAGCAATTTGGTATTTATGTCTGTGTTAACCCAGGGTTATGGCATCTTGCAAAATTTGACAGTTTTCAAGAAAAAAGCCTGTGTGCAGCATTTTCTGGGTAATTTGTCTACGCTTTGGTATCTTGTAGGATGAAAATTTCTAGCTTATTGGATGAATCACCACATTATTGACTTCTGGGAGCATTCTATTCAGATGAGTGTGGGAACAGGATCTAGTTTGTGTCCTGATGGTATGTTGGACCCATGTGAGCTTGGGTATGCTAGGAAAAAGGTGCATTTTTAAAACCCAGTTGATGTGCTCTAAAATGCTAGGGTATAAAAGGCAACTCTAGCTGGTTAACAGATTAAACTGATTTTACACACACCTGTACCTCGAGGGTTTTGCCACAGATGTTTCATGATGGGGACAGATTTGGTGATGCAGATCACAGAGAATGTGCAGATCACAGAGATTGTGATACTTCAGGCTAAAAATCACAGGCATGAACCACAACTTGCTAAAAGCAGGGATAAAACAATTTCAGACTGCTTATTCTTGGGTGTTGTATGTAAAAATAATAATAGTAATAAATAATCTTTAGTGTCTGTCAGCATGAGCTCAACTCGACTGCAGTGTTTTTCCTTTGTTTCTATGGTGAGTTTAGGGTCCTAGCTGTAGACAGGTCTTAACTTGCCACATCCCACATCTGTCTTTGCCATGACAGTGCTGTAGGTCTGCATCAAAACTAGTTGGAAGTTCTGAGCTACTTCAGCTGCTGTTGGGTTTATGAGAGTTGTATGTGCAGTCTTCGGCAGGAGTGTCTGCCTCAGTTCTGCAATCTGTAAAATGGAGGGTTTCTGTCAAGAGTAGTTTGAAGGCAAACATTGACCAACACTAACTGTCCTAGGTATGACTTTGGGGAAAGAAGGAAATGAAGCAGGGAGAGAGCTACTTTACATGAAGTCCTTATCAGTGGAAGATTATCTGTTTTGGGTAGCAGGGACAGAATTTGGAGAATCATCTGGTGTAGGGGATGGGAAACAGAGGAGTAAAGGCTAGGGAACAGAGCTAAATTTTCAGAAAGGGCCTATAAGTTTGTGTGCCTCAAATTGTCTAGTTTCAGTGTCTTTAAAAAAGAGTATTTTTCATGCGCAAGATGCAA